GCAGGTACATAGTAGCAATTCTTAGTTTCCAAAACCATGCGAGAAGACAAAAAACAAATGAAATATTTCTACAGCTAATGGAGCAACTCTTGCTTCATTTTCCACGCGAAGGTCCACTTGTCCTTTCTCCAAGACTCTATTGTTCTTTAGGCCGTGCATATTTCCACAAATATGAGTACCACAACTGGTATCAAATACCACAGAAATAGAATAAAAAATAGTAACATTTACTTTTATAACATTAATACCTGAAGATGATGTTTCAGAAATCTTTTTTTTTTTCAGATCTTCCAAGTATTTCTCGCAGTTTCTTTTCCAATGTCCAGAACCATCACAATAATGACACTTATCAACATTAGAAGGACCTGGCTTAAACTTAGGAGACGGATCAAGCTTGCTTGGATTCGCAGTCCATCCTGGCTTACCCTTTCCTTTGTTCTTACCTTGTTTCTTAAACCTGTTACCCCCTTGTACCATAAGAACATTTGGGGTATCCTTCTTGATGTTAGGTTCAGCTGATCTAAGCATCCCATGCAGCTCAGTCAAAGTCTTCGTCAAGTTGTTCATGCTGTAGTTCATAACAAACTGATCATAGCTTGACGGCAATGATTGTAGGATGATATCAGTCGCCAACTCTTGGCTGATAGGACAATCCAGCTTAGCTTAGTTATCAATATAACCCATCATCTTAATGACATGTGGGCTAACTGGACCATCTATTAGTAGCTTGCACTCAATGAGAGACTTAACCGTTTGCTATCTCTCAGTTCGAGCTTGCTCGATCATGTCAATTGGTGAATCCACGTTCTCGTACTGCTTCTGCAAATCCGAGTTCATGGTTGCCAACATAAGACAACACACATCGACCTTATCACTGACATGCTTCTCATAAGCAGTTTTTTGAGCATGTTGGACATTGATCTTAGGTTTTTCAGGAAGAACCTTTTCTAGGACATAGTCCTTTTTCTCCTGCTTCAGAACAATTCTCAAGTTTCGATACCATTCAAGAAAATTTGATCCATTCAATTTATCCTTCTCAAGGACAGATCACAATGAGAACGAATAGTGGGGAGTTGTCATTTCTGGAATAAAAGAATAGGGAGTGTTAATATGATGTTCATGAATTGAGAAATCTCAACAATTAAGAAAACTCATATTATATTCAAACATTTTCCTCAAATGAATATAATAATCCAAGATCCATATTTCACTAAAATCCGAGTGAGCTTTGGCTCATCGCCCAGATTCTAACTATTTAGGTAAGCAACACTTTGCTAATTATATCCAATATAATTTTTGGTTGTAAGACGACATCTTATGTCTTATCCAACCTATGTCTCTAAGCCCAAAACCGTTTTGATAGCCTAGTCAAGTAAACCAATCTTGTTTCACATGGTAACCGTTACCATCCACCTCACTCATGTAATTGCAGACACTTTGCTTTGGCAAGCCCATCTTACAACGAAACGAGCCTTGATGGTTGATAAGATTGGATAGACATAAAAATACTTGAAATTAATTGAGGAATAAATTTTAATTCAATTTAATTTATATTTAAAATTTATATCTAATATAAAATATAAATATAAATGATACATATCTTATATGTATTTTAATTGAATTATAAATAATTAATTAATTTAATCTAAATAAATTATTAATTATATACTTATAATTAATTTTGATATACTATATTTTAATCAAATTAGGATTTAAACTAAAATTAAAAATAAAACTTTCTAAAAGTCTGAAACTCAAGAAGAACACACGGTTCTTGTTAGAAACCAAAGGATTGGTTTCAGCATAAACCAAAACGTATAGTTTCGATACGAGATTTAGAAAAATACGATTATTTATCAAAATCAAACGCATACTAAATCTAGTTGACTTCTCAAAAGATTTATGCAATATTATGTATATCAAACTTCCAATTATTTATGAACACATGCACATATCAACGATTTGATATATATATACTTTTATCAATTCATATATAAAAAGTAAACTTTACTATAATGCATGTATTAAATGTAAATAATATTCGCACTAGCTAAAAGAACGGAACATTCAAGTTTGGAAGCAAAAACATGTGGTGTAAATTATCAATCGATTACATTTAATCTATTATAATAATTCATACAATCACATCAATGATACTATTATGAACACAAATATATCGACTTAACAAGTTGCAAGGACCGTAACCTAATATATCTATATATAAAAGCGTCTGTTCTAGTTGTTTTGAAACATTAATATGAATCAATGAGTGTATCAAATACATACACAAACTATATTCATCTAAATTCAGTTTCAATATTATGCAGATAGGCTCTGATATCACTGTAGGAATTCATACCGGTTTATAACGATTTATAAAACAACCTATGAATTCTATTTGCCTAGATCTCATGCAAATACTGAAATAAATCTAGATCTTAGGGTTTCGAATAAACCTGGTTATTTGTAGTGGAAAGATGAATAAACCAAGTCAAGATTTGAAGCACTCCAAACGTCGTGCCTCTATTGGTATCCACACGCACACAAACTGGATCGATACGAGATGCTAGTGCCGTCGAGATCGTATCTCAAAACATGACAAACTCTTTTGTCTCTCTTAGGGTTTTTAGTGTTACACGGCCAACACACACTCTTTATATTATGAAGCGTTATAGTAACTACAGTGAAACCTCTATAAATTAATAATGTTGGGACTACACCAAAACTATAATTTTTTTATTAATTTATAAAGATTATTAATTTATCGATATACTAATTGAACCAAAAACTCAATTTAAGATTATAAAATTGTATTATTTTATAGAGATTTTTAGTGTATATTAATTTATAGAGTATTAATATAAAGAGGTTATATTGTATATATAATTAAGTGCATGTGCCCTAATCTCACGTGATTACATTTAATGGATCAGTCCATTAACAAATGTGTAATCTCTTCCAAAGAGATTGTTTCTCACGTAATTATATATATATATATATATATATATTTATATCACATATAAAATATATATCTACACATCAATGCTCATATAAAACCCAAATATATTATTAAACCAGTTTCTTTAGGTGTGTGACCCTGTAGGATCATATAAAATTAGTAATGGATTCTCAATCCATAGATTATAAGCGGTTTCTAACAAAACATTATAACCACCTAATTTTATACGATTATCGAACCTCGACGTTACGACTTTAACAAGTAAGTATAAATGATTTTAGGACATTCCCAACAATACTATAAACAAATTTTTTTTCCTAACACCATTCTTTTCATCATTTTAAATGACATTAGTAAATACTTTTTCAAAATCCAAAAACACAAATCAAATAGCTTATTCGTTGATTTTATGTACTATTAAAAGTATAAAGAACGTTTAATCAAAATTTGAAAATATCATGAATTTTTGGGTTTAGTCCGGGTCAACGAATGTAGAATTAAGGGTTATTGGTGGGGTTTTAAAGTTTAATGGGTTTAATAACAGATTTTTCCTTAAACCCAAACAATTATATAGGGATTTCTGGTTTTCGATAAGTCCAGAATGGATATGAAAACACTAGAATAAGACAAATAAAATTGTTGTATGGAATTTCATCGCATATATTTTACATTCACCGTGGTGAGTGCCCCAGACACAATGGTCAGGTCGGGTTGGTGCCTCGTGTGCATTGCCTGAACATTCGGTATGTTCACTTGTTTATCAGACAACAGTACCAAATAATAACAAATGCTTTCATATGGAATTTCATCCATCGCATAGATTTTACATTCAACCGTTGTGAGTGCCCAGACACAATGGTCGGGTCGGGTTGGTGCCTCGTGTGCATTGGCCTGAACATTTGGTATGTTCACTTGTTTATCAGACAACAGTACCAAATAATAACAAATGCTTTCGTCTTTTTAGCTGGTTGCTATTTGGACGACTCGGTATATGATGTTTGGAATTATCTTTCTTACATTAAGTCAGACTTCAATTTATGCAAAATGATAAAGCCAATTACTATACCTACAGTGGATGGTGGTCGGTTTGGTGGAGTGGTACATATAGCATGGTACTCTCAAAGGCAGCCTTCTTTCACAAAAAGTACCTAAGCGAGAACATGTTTAGTTCTCTCTCTCTCTCTTTGTGTTCTTTGTATCTCTGGTAATGTGATTTAGCTACCTAAGCATGAGATGCATCTGATAACAGGAACTGTGAAGACAATGCAATGTCATTTCTCATCACAAATGCTACAAACACTCCTCCCATGTGGGTTAAAGGTTCAACCGCAAACACATATATTGTTATATGATGATGAAGATCATAATCTCTTCTTTTTGGCAAATGAAATAAATTCAACAGGAATCAGTAGCATGGAAGGCACACAGAGAAAAGAAACACACTGCGTAAATCGGTTTGTGGCAGAGTTGGGGAGAATGCCCACTTGTATACACGTTCATGAAGGCCATGGATAGTCGCAGTTTATGGTTCTGGTGATTGCTGCTTTCTCTTCCACTTGTTAGTACTACTCTTCATAGAACTGGTCTTGCTATTGCGGCAAGAGGGAGAATGAAAGAGAGTTTGTAGTTGGTGACTAATAGAGTTATTACCATAGAAGCTTTACAAATAGGAGGAGTAAGTAGCCTAGTGTATGGTGTAACTTTTGTAACATTAGTATAACATCTGATTCTGTGAAAAAAACCATACATATATTCACAAGGCATCTTATAGACAAACAAACCTTGTTTATGGATACACTTGCTTTCCTCCTACATACGTTGCCAAAACCGAAGCAGAACCGTCTTTTGAGAACTCATCCCACGAACTTGTTGACAATATTACAAAAATCCGCAAGCTTCCCTGGAGACAAAGACCCCAAGTGTTGATCAAGAAAGGCTGCTCTTGCCGCTGATATCGTATGCCTGCGAATTTGCATATGACGTGGGAGTTAGGAACAAGGAGTGAAAAGAAAGACTTTAAAAAGGCTAGAGAAGAGGCTTGTTACGCAGTCAAGGCATCGGTGAAAGAGATGCATTCAGATGGGATCCAAGCGTGATCCCACTTGAGAGGTATTCGTTTTACCGCGGTTGTGAGACTGTGCAACGGGTTAATGTCTGCCACCTGAAGCAAAGACGAACCAAGTAAGCTTCAGTTCTTTAGTTTGAAAACTACAAATGGAGGTTATCTGAAACGTACAGGCCAGTCGGAACCAAATGCCACAAGTGCATTGCCATTTAAGAGAGATTGAAATAGATAAGACTCCTTTTCAGCTCTATCAAAACCGAGCTTCTTTGGAGCAGTATCAGCATCATCAAGCAAATGATCTGGCTGTTCACGAGAGCCTTAGATATGTTAGATCAAACATATAAGTCTGAAGTGTGCAGATGGGCCGATGCTGGGTGGGAAGTGACTAACCTGCACTGAGGCTACAATGTGATGTTGACCAAACCGATCAGAAGATCCTGGAGCCAAATGTTGCGCATGCTCAATCTGTAATGCAGTATCTCAACGATAATAAGTAAATAGCTCAGAGAAGAAATAAACTATTAAAGATCAATCTTCACCCTGAATCTTCTATCCCGTTCTCCATTGGCTGCAGCAACGGATTCGTACATTTCGAGAATCATGTCATTTGCTTTGTCTCCTATGGCATGGATAGCAACCTTGATCAACAAGACAATAACCAACTTATATATGAGTTGTTGAGTGGAACTTAATTTGACTAATACGATGAGGAAGAAAACAATGGAACAACCTGAAGCCCTGCTTTGGCTGCTGCCATTGTGAGGTTTAAAAGTATCTCAGGATCCATCACTTCTAGCCCATGATTTTTAGGTGTGTCAAGATATTCCTGTAGAAAGATACAACCCATGGGACTTTTTGTATCATGAAATGCTATAATGTGTATTTCAGTAATATGTTTAATGACTGTATAGCAGATGATGACATAGTAATCTTCACCTCGTAGAAAAGTGCACTGTTGGAACCTAGAGAGCCATCAATAAATGCTTTGACGCCACCGAGGTACAACCAGTCACTCAGTACATGACCTTTCTGAAGCTTAAGATCCTAAAAGAATGAAGTCAATGATGATGAGCACAAATAGACTTTCAAGGAAATGCAGAAAAAAAAAAAGCAGCGTCTGGAGGAATATCATACCGATAAACGTGACCATGTTGTAATGGGGAAAAACAAGCAAGTCCGGATCATCATCTTCTTCGCTGAATCAGCCCATAGATACACATCTGTACCATAAAAGGGAATGAGTTCGGAGAAAACCACATTCTATTCTAGCAGCATGCAAGTATGAATGTTGGTTAGTCAATAGTCATTTCCACACAGAGTTAAAAGAAAAAAGATGTAGTGCACCTTGAAAGTCATTCCAGGAGAGCTCATCTGTATTGCCAGGATAAAATCTTCCAAGATCAACAACAGTTGTCACGCCTCTAGTTAAAGCATACTTGCTAGCTCTAAGAAGTGCTTCCCTACGTTCATCCACTGAGACTTCTTGAACGAAAGAAGTGACAAGCTCCATAGCAGAATCGATCAAAAGCCCTGTAGGCTCTGCATGTAGTCATTCATCATAAAAGCAATTACCAGCTGATTTTAGTTAAAAAAAACCCCAACAAAGCTTCACTACAACTCGAAGCAATGGAAAGCAAGCTAAGTGCTACTATATCAATATACATAAAGCATTACCGCCACTAGGGAATCTCATTATCGTTCCACCAACTGGATCTTCTGTTAAACTAGTAACACCAGCAATCTTAAGCGTGAGGGAATTCGCCAAACCCATATGACCATCCATCCTAATCAACCAAACCTACACAACGAAAAAAAAGAACGTAAATAAGGAAATGATGTTAACTGTTGACAGCATATTTCATCCCTTACAGGATTATGAGGAGAGATTTCATCAATCCATGATGCAGAAGGCAACTCTCCTCCCCAGAAATCATTGTTCCATCCACCACCAAGAATCCATGATCCTTCTTTTGCATCTGCATAGTATCATTGTATCACATAAAATCAGCATTTTGAATAAAACACACTCTCCACCCACTAATGAAATAACCACAATAAAGAAATAAATGTAACCACAATATTACTCTGCACCGCGTCTTTCACCATCTTGCAAAACTCTTCCTTTTGACTCACTCCTCTGAGTCCAACTTGGGCCATCTTTGCTCAATCAACAAGAACATAAAAAAGGAGTAAACTGTTTGTGTCTAAACCTGATCAAAAATGTATTTGTGCTGTCACCTGAAGTCCCCCAGAGATCAAATGAACATGTGAATCAATAAGTCTAGGCACTACAACCTTCCCCTCCAGATTCATCTCCACTGTTCCATCTCCTACAAAATCCTGTCTTTCACCAAATTTACATGAGACATTTCTATCAATCTTGAAGATAGTATAAAAGCAGCAGAAAATTAACCACTTGAACACTAAAAAAAAAACAGAGTAGACAAAACATCTCTCAAAACTTCAAGATTCACGCTTAGTTGTAAAAGCAACAACACACAAGTTCATCAAACACTTGAACACTAAAAGAACAGAGTCAAAAAAAAAAAAAAAAAACAGAGTGAACCTTGAGAGTGGTAAAGGTTCCGACTTTGAGAATCCTGCCGTTACTAATCGCCATGGAATCATCAAACGGCAATGAAGCATCGCTGGTGAAGATTGTTGCATTACTCACTAGCAAATCCGCTACGTTCTTAACCGGTGGTACAAGAGATGACGTCAGAGTTGACCAATCTGCGAACAACAACAATTCAAAGTCAAATTGTTCTTTAGATTTTATGAGATAGTGACACAGTGGTTATTACATAGTTCGTTGAGCAGAGTAAGATACGCGACGGAGGTGAGGAGGAAGACGGCAGCTTAAACGATGACTGAAGCGCTTCATCGAATTTAACCGAATTTTTATTATTATTTTTTCTAAAACAGATACTCCTAACCGAATTTAACCGAAATAGGAGATTTGGTTTGGTTTTAATAATTTGAACACGGTTCTATCATTCATATCAACACTCAAAACTTTATAAATAAATTATAATCTTTTATTTTTAATAAAAATATAATGAAATCATGTATCCGTTTCTATCGCTACAAAGACAATAATTTAATTAAAAATATTAAACCAGATGAATTATATAGGACAATTCTCTCAAATACCACTCTTTTAAGTTTTTATCACAAAAATAGATTTCAAAAATTAAAATGACCAAAATATCACTTTTTATTTTAATTTTTTATTATTTTTAAAAATTTGAAACCTTATCCCCAAACAAAAAAAAATCTAGGATTAATATTAATCTAAGAGGTATAATTATATATTTTATGAAACATTTAAGTACTATTTTGGTCATTTTAATTATTAAGGTTATATTTGTGACAAAAAAATTTTAGGTCTACCTTAATCATTTTCTCAATTATATATATTCAAAAGTAGTAATACAAATTATCAAGTCAACTATTTTTTGCTAACATTAAATAACTTTTCTATAGTGCTGACTCTGTGTTTGTACTGGCTTTTCAATCTAGGCATGGACAAGTTTATCTCTTAAGGAAGTGTAAGTTTTTTTATTTCTTATTAAAAAAAGTTGGGAAATTGCTAGAAATAACACTTTCAAGATACCACTTTTCAACTTTACACTAACCAACTTTACCACCAAAATTTTAATAGTCAAAATACTATTAGAATTTAGGGTTTAGGGTTTTGGGTTTAGGATTGATAGTTTAGGGTTTAGTGTTGATTTTTTAGGGTTTAGAGTTTACTTTTTAGGGTTTAGGGTTTAAGGTTTAGAATTGATATTTTAGGGTTTAGGGTTGATATTTAGGGTTTAGGGTTTACTTTTTAGGGTCTAGAGTTTAGAATTGATGTTTTAGGGTTTATGGTTAATATTTTATTTAATATTTATTTTATGTATATATATAAAGAATAAGTATATAAGAGTCTTTTATCTTTTAATAAAATGTGTATTTTTGAAAATGTTCTTTTCTTGATGGTAAACATGAAAAGTGGTACCACCAAAGTGGTATAGTTGAAATTCTCCCAAAAAAGTTTGAGCTATAATTTGTTTTTTTTTGTTTTGCTTAAAGCTATAATTTTTTTCAATTACTTTTTGTTCAAGTTGATCGTTTAGTGTAAAACATTTCAACTAGAAATAAAGAAGACATAATGATAAGGGGGACTTCATGCCGTAATTGATATCTTCTGTGTTGATTGTGGATCAAACGTTGGCTGGAAATATGCAAGACAAAACTGTATTTAGTTTAGTTGGTAGACATAATTAATACTAATCTATGTATTTTTGATTCGATTCTTGAGTAGTTAAACTGGGTTTTGTGTTTTTATGTTTCTACTTTCTAGGTGACTGCCACTGAAATGAGGCAGATGTACAAGGAAGGAAAATCTGCTCTTGAACTGTGCGAACCCTTTCTTGGTTTTGTGTTAATCAAGCAAATTACATTACAAAGTTATAACATACACAACAGAGGCTTAATCCCAAATGTTAATACTTTTTTGGGAGAATTTCAATTATACCACTTTGTTGGTACCACTTTTCATGTTTACCATCAACAAAGGAACATTTTCAAAAATACACATATTATTAAAGGATAAAAGACTCTTATATACTTGTTCTTTATATAAATATATAAAATAAATATTAAATAAAATATTAACTCTAAACCCTAAAACATCAATTCTAAACTCTAGACCCTAAAAAGTGAACCCTAAACCCTAAAAATCAACCCTAAACCCTAAAATATCAATTCTAAACCTTAAACCCTATACTCTAAACCCTAAAAAGTAAACCCTAAACCCTAAAAAATCAACACTAAACCCTAAACTATCAATCCTAAACCCAAAACCCAAAACCCTAAATTCTAATAGTATTTTGACTATTAAAATTTTGATGGTAAAGTTGGTTAGTGTAAAGTTGAAAAGTGGTATCTTGAAAGTGTTATTTTTGGCAATTTCCCTACTTTTTTCTGTTTATGTTTGCAACAGGTATAAGATTGTTTGTCCATATAATAGCATCGCTTGGTTTTCCAGAAAATCTAATTACTTGTGATTTGATAACTACATCATTCAGATGATGCTTATAAGCATTTATCCTTGAAGAAGCTTATTATGACACAGTTGTGATACGATATCATATGATTCTTTTATGTGATATGTATTGTCATTCAATATTTTATGTTATTGTTGTTATTATTTGTTTGGTTTCAATAGTTTTTGTATCCTTTTTTGAAAAGTGTAAATGTAAGTACGGGTTGACCAAAAAAGTATTTAATCCTTCTTTTATCATATTTCTTTTACAATGTACATTTCACGACCTTATGTTATGTATCAAATCCCTTAGATATTATTAAGTTGATTCGTCGCAACATGTATTATATTCTTTTATTAATTTAATTACTAGTGTAAAATAAATATTTTCCATTATTTTTTTAAAATAAAAGATATGAAATTACCTAATATGATTAACATATATATGATAACTAATGATTTTAAATAATAAGATTTTATTACAATTTTTGTATTCTTCATCATTTTTGTTTGATTTTATATTCTTAGAATAAATTAAACAATCACATTAACCATATAACAAAAAAAATTAGTTTTTTTATATTTTATTATTTAAATTTCTTAAAATGACTATACCTTACTAAACTGTTAAAAGTTTCATTTAAAAAAATTCTGATCAATTCTTTAGCTTTTTTTTGTTATAACAATATAGAAATAATCATAAAATCATGTAATATAAAGTTTATTGTAATAGATAATCAGATTATATAATATTTTGCATTAAATTTTTTTAAAATAGTTAAAAATTATTAAAGTTATTAAAATCTCAAATTGAAAATTTTGTGGGTAATGATTTAATCTTTTGGTACAACAAATATACAAATGTAAATAAAATCATATGAGTAGATAAACGTTAATTCATAAATATTCATATTAAAATATATTCTATACCCATATATATATATATATATATCAATATCGTTTAAATTTAATTGTATAACATATAAAATAAAATAAAATAAAAATTTATTATTTACTAAAAAATATTGTAAATAAATAAGAGAGATTGTTTTAATTTATATGCTTACTTCAATTTAATAATATCTATTATATAAACTCATGTCTCAGTCCTTCTAAAGAGTGACACGTCGGATGCTACGTAACGTAGGAATGTCCACCTAGGATTTTCGACTTTTGGTTTGGGTCCTTTCATTGTCGTTTTTGGGCTTCCATTACTTTGGGCCGATTGTGTTTAGAGGATTAACGTACCGCTTGCGAACAAATGAAGAACAGAGTTGTGATCTTCCTCCAGTGGTGACTTGGGATTTTTCACTTAATGGGAAATGTAAAGCCTTCGTGATTCATCACACAAGGCTCCCCACTACATTGCCATCGATTAATCACACTCTGCAAAACATCAATTTCTTAGGTCTGTTCGACCTTTGTGAATAGTGTGCTTGAACAATTTCTTAGGTTTGTTCATGTCTTATCTTTAGTTTGTTCAAATGTTACAGAAAATTTGGTTTCTCTTTAGAAAGCTCGACGCTTTGCTTAAATTTGAAAATGTTGGTTTTATGTTGGGTTCGTGGTGATGATGAACTTTTCTTTGTAGCTTTTGTGTATTCTTACCAGATTAGTTCTTTAACTGCCTTATGAATCCGGTTTGGAGGTATTTTGTTAGTTTGAGTGTTCGTCATTAGCTATAATAGCTAAATTAGTACTAAGTTAATATATATACTAAGTTAAAAATTTACAAATATTTTTTTACAGGTTTGTTATATCAAGTACCCCCGGGTTAGGAACATAGATGATCTGTGGGTCACTGTTACGTCACTCAACCCGAGGGGCCGAGTTCAGGGAAGTTCTGAGCTGGAAGACCCACTACAAACAAACACATCGGGTAACTTAAGTGCAGTAGAAGATGTAGCTGCAGTTGACCTTGTCGTTGATTTTACCGACTTTGGAGAGGAAGCCATCGTTCACATAGAGGATGAACCAGAGATTGGAGAGTTTCACCAAGATCCAGATTCAGATTTATCTGGTGATGGTGATGATGATGACTCGAAAACAGAGTAGTTATCAACAATTTTTTTTTTTTTTCTAAAAATATTCCGAGGAAATACCGAGGAAAAGCATTATATCCTCGGTATTTCCTCGGTACATTTCGCATTTAGGGATTTGAGTTTAGGGGTTATCTTCCTCGGAATTTCCTTGGAATATTCCGAGGAATTCCGAGGAATTCCGAGGAAGCATGTACTTTCCTCGGAATATTCCGAGGAAATTCCGAGGAATCAAGACATTTGATCCGAAAATGACATTTTTCCGTTTGCAAATTGAACATGTGACTTAAATAACCTTATTTACTGTCTTAGATTGATTATAAAGTAAAATGCTGATGTGTTTTAAAGTAATAAACTCTCTTCCAATTATATAAAAGAAATTCCTTAAGAACAAGATAAACACTTATACACTTTAATGAACGGAAACGACAAGACGTGTACTCGTATTCTAAATTTTGTAATTTCATGGTTTATGGCATCTATTGAAAGAATCTTCAATGTTTTCCATTAAAAAACTGTCAAATTGTTCAAGCAATGGTGTACCGTATAAAAAATTTAGGTTTTGAAACCCCAAACAAGGGTTCCTCGGAATTTCCTCGGAACTTTCCGAGGAAATTCCGAGGAACCCTCCCACCAATAGGAAGACATGCAGAGCATATTCCTCTTTTTAAGTGTATTCCGAGGAAATTCTGAGGAAATTCCGACGGACCTATACATGTCCGTCGGAATTTCCTCGGAATTTTTCATTAACCGGGAAATCAAACCGCCAAAATATTTCGCGAAAATTAAATTATAGGGATTCCGACGGAA